AAAAGAGAAAGAGGTGCAGGACTTGGACAGGACGACATTGTATGACCCGCAGGAGGCACGGGATTGGCACAACGAGGGACTTTGGCACGGATGGCTCATCATAAATACAAAGCAGGCTGGCGCTTTGTCAGGCAGCCTTCGACACTTTTATTGGCCCAGCCCGGCCCAAGTCCTCCTTGTCCGCCTTGCTGCAGAAGCATCCTCTATTTCTGGGCCAGCGGTGGCCGTCATCGATATGCCAGCAGCATCCTGCACTTGCCACTGCTCCTTGTTATTTCTCCGCGAATCCCCATCCCCATCCCCAACCCCATTGCCATCTCCATCACAATCTTTCTACCCCCAAACTTCGTGCTACTCCTGTTCTTTGTGCCAGGCAAATGAAATTGAAAATTTTTATGATGCCAACACCAGTGTGCTAGCAAATAGAATGCTGAAAATTTAAGCAGCTGTATAAAGTTGGTTAATCTGCCGTCTGATTAAGACGAGATTGAGCGGCGTCTGGGGCCGGACACCTCTCGACATTAATGGCAAAGTCTGTATAATTTTTATGACTACCGATGGGCTACACGTGCTGCTCGAAAATGTTTATGGCTTGGCTTCTGCAAGACTGCAGCTTAAATATTTTGTAGGGCCGAACTCTTGAGCTAAACGAGTTAGCATTTTGAGGGGCGAAGCCGGGGGTCTTTGCAAAAGTAGCTGGCAAGTAACAAGCTTAACCGCAAAAGTTTTAAATAAACTTTTGTTGCTGTTGTTCCAGGCGAAAATATATTTGTAGAATGCGTTCGCGCAAGCGGCATAACTATAACTTCCGATTCCGTTGGATGGCTTTAGACACACAGGGAAAATATGGGTTCTTATAGAAAAACTTATTAACATGTCAATAAGACTTTAATTCAATATAAATTGGGTTAAAAATTTAAAGAATAAGGATATGCGCAGTAATAATAACTCTTTTTATTGGGTTACTTTTCTAATTGACATCGATTGCCTTAGCTAAGATACTGATAATTGTTCCTGAAGCTGCATTAAGTTCTTAAGCTTTTCTTAGAATTAATAGTATATTGGTAGAGGTGTAAACATTTTTCTGTGTGTGGAAATGGAATGAAAACGTTGTGTGGATGGGCTATGGAAGCCCGTTTGCCTTGTAATACAGTTAAATATAAATTCAAAAAATATACGAGTGTACGGGGGAGTTTGGCGAGAGCAACTTTGTTTGCCACTATTTTCCTTGTTGGTTTTTACTTTCTGCTTTTTTGCCTTGCCATCTTTTCTCCTCTCCTCTCCGCCCGCTGGCCCGGCTTTTTTCTTTGCATTCGTTACTTATGCAATTTGCATGAGCGGCAAACACCCACGAACAACTAACAAGTCTGCCTGGCAACAACTGCAACGGCGGCAACATCGCCACAGCAACAATGCGAGCAGCCAGCAAACTTCCGCCTGATGAATAAGTGTCTGCTCTGCCTCCATATTTGCCCCTGTATCCCAATGTTTAGTTTGCCCAACTGCATAAAGCGAACAACAATAATAAAAACAACTTCCTAATTGAGAAAATAAAAATCAACAGCTATGATAACTACTCAAATGGGGACAATGGGCTAGACTCAGTCAGTAAAATGTCTACATGTTTCAGAGGGAACATATAAATGTTCTCTATTAAAATTATAATATTTTAATTTGATTCAATGTCGCATGGGTGAAAAATTCCTTAAGTTTATATATTAGTATATCAAATAGTAACATAATTTTATGTAAGTCGATTAACTCAATCAATTTGAATTACTTACAACAATACATGATATTTGAATACTCATATTTAAAACGATTATATATATTCTATACTTAGTCCAGCAAATTAGTAATAAAGTTAAGGTTATCTCACGTGTTTAATTTACTGAGAGAAGGAAGAAAACAATTGTTAAATTGTTAAAGAATGCTAAAAACATACGGTATTCTTAAAAGTATTTTTCATATTAAAAGTTCCCTTGGAAAGTGAAAGTTCCAATGGCCTTATGATCCGTCTGCTTGGTCCTTGTCCATCTCATTTAACCCATTGTGCTGCCGCGGGGGAAACAGCAGCTTCAGCCTGAAAGGAATCCGCAGCAGCCACTGGAACTGCAGATGCAGCTACTATGGCAACTGCAACTGCGGCGCTGCCAAGCCTCAGTCCGGCATAAATTTTATGCCGCACAAGTCGGACTTCCGGTCGGAGAGACCGCCATGTTGTTATGTATTCAGACTGCGCCTGTGTGCGTGTGTAAAAATGCAGTTAAAGCGAAGGAATGAAACGGGAGCTGGAAAAACAGACCGACCAACAAAAGGACCAATGGACGAAAGGACCGACAGACCGGACCGGGTCCAAATGAAGCTATACCAATGCTGATAACCGAACAAGCGCCGCGGACTCTCATATTAATTTCTGCTATCTCGGGGACGCTTTGCATGCGTACTATTGTTGGTACACTCAAAGAAATGCTTAATAAGTCAATTTACCATATTCAGTTTGGTAAATATCTACTCTTAGCATTGCCATAAAAATAAGTAAACTAAAATAATCCATCTTTCATTTGCATAATGTAAAAATTAGAAATGTAAGATAGATAAACTAAAGTTGGTCAAGTTTAACGTCATAATAATAATTAATTAATTATAATAATAATTCACCCTAAAATTTGTACCATGTGTGCAATTACAGAAGTAGCAGGTGTCTACCTTTTATAGTTACTTGAAAATTGGCAATATTTTTCTTAATTCAAGATTTTGTTTAAAAATTTGTATGAGTGCAGTGCAAACGCTGTTGTGTGCGCAGCTCTGGCTATAAATTTGATTTGTTTAGCAATTTGTTGCATATCGCATTGCGCATACGCCCCGTACATCCATCTCGTCGTCCTTCGCTGTCGTCATCGCTCCAGCCTGCAGTTACTTTAACGATGAATAACGTGTTTGGTTGCGTTTTTCGTTCTATGTTTGTCTTTGCCGCCGGCTCCTTCATTTGTTGTTTGGTGTTTTTATGTTCCAGCTACATGCAACATTTTATGCACTCCCATTGACAATAATTTATATTGAAATGTGTCACTGCAACCGCCGGAGTCTCTCTATCTGCGTGAGGTTGGAATTGCATTAGTTGCGACTCTGGGCACAACCATTAGTCATTTTGGCCATCTGTATAAAGACCATTCAATTTAATCGCCAACGAAATAAAATCTAAATAATATCTTTGATCATAGATTAAATTAAATCACAAATTTAGTGAGGAGAGTGTGCTCTACGAAAATTAGGAAATCTTTTTAATAATAATAATAAAGTTGCAATTCTATTGTAAATTGTCTTCTTGAGACTCCAACTTTCAGTTCGCCACTTGGTGACACTTGCAACAAACTATCGCCTGCCCCCGATACCGCTCTCTTAGTATCCCTCTGCACGCGATCGATGAAAGTTGGTGGCATCTTCGCGTGCACTTTATAATTAATAACAATTTAGCATGCACTTAATTTTAATTATTACCCAATTAGGTCAGTGCCATTATAATTTAAGCACCCGGCACACTGCAGATAATTAAGCAAGGGCAAAATTAAACAATTTCGAGTCCGACGAAATGAAGTCCTGCCAGCCCGTCATGACGTTCTTGTCCTGAATTCGTCCTTTTCCGGAGCAGCGCCTTCGCGCTTCCGTTCTGTTTGCGGGCTAGGTCATTAGGGATGGTTTGTGTGTAAATTTGATTTCACAACATTTTGTCACTGCGTTGCCCCAACTTTCTGCGTTTACGAGTCACATAAATTTAACGACCGAGTTCAAGTTGTAAATAGTTGACAAACTCGTCTCGTTCGCGAACTGAAGCTCCAATGAAGTGACGATGGATAACTGGTGCTAGTGCTTCAAATAAATTACTTCGTTGGAGCTTCAAAATAAAGTTATTAACAATAACTTGGTACTTATTTTAACTGATTTTTGCTGAGCACCTAAAGTAATTTTTTGAAGAAGTAAAAATAGGAATTCTCTCCATGTCTCACATGTACAATAAAATAGTTATGATTAATTCAACCAGAATGTTTTAAAATAGGCAAATATTTTGTATATAAACTTATTTTAGATTTAATGTCACTGCGATTGTTGATTTCCTTAAGATTAGTCCTCTATTTTATATAAATTCTGGCAGGCATCTGGGGATCCAGAGTCCCCTTGGACTTTGTGATCTATAATTCCATTAATTTTTTGTTTAAGGTGTTTCAATTGAAAGCGACCGGAGATGGAAGCAATTTGAATGTCATTAGGTGCCCACGCATGAGACAGCCAGCCAGGAAGCGGAGTCAAGGAAAAAAAGGCATTCGACTCCATATCTGATTGAATAATAATGTGTGCTTAAGGATTTAATGCGCTCCCGGCAGCTGCTCGACTTCCACTTGGGAGCAGATATGTTGGGAAAACAACGGCAAAATGTTAAATTGCAATCCCACGAACGCGGCAGAATCACTGAATCCGAATCTGAATCAGACTCTCCCCGCCTTTTTGTTGACACCGGCATGGCCAATGGGGAATTCCCTTGGCTGATGCTGATTGCCAAAAAAAAGAGATAATATAAGTAGTAAAGAAGGAATGGGCTTGTAAAAAAAACCAGAGACTGGAAATTCGGGCGGCTTACACATAATGCCATCTGGGAAAAAAATTGAATAACCTTATCGTACGATTTTAAATTAACCCAAATGTCCCTTAAGCCTGCCAGTTTCCGAAACGGTGTTGTGTAATTGTTAAAAATTCCTCAAAAAATAAAGAATGATTTCGCCTTTCTTAACGTAATACAGTTAACCATGTTTAAAATCAAAGGTATCTCCCATAAGCGGATCGTTAGAGCTGCCCTTAATCGTGGCAATTTGTGTATGGCGTTGACAGCTGGTTGGAGGTTTAATGCCTTGCACATTAGAGAACTAAGCGAAAAAAAACATTTTCCAAATGACACCGAGAAAAAAATATGTTTACAAAATAAAATATTTTTGCTGCCGATTTTTATATGTCAGGTTAACTTTTGTTATTAAGGTAAATAGCTTTTTTGCAGAAATGTTGTCCTTCAATGTGATATTTGAGTTTCTCTGACTGGCTCAAGTATGTCAGTCAGATAAAAACAAACATGACATTGACATTTCAAAAAATTTACCTCAATGACAAAATTAATCTGTCATTGGAAAATCGGTCCTTTGCTTTAGTATAATAATATAAGCAGTCCCAAACAAATGGAAATAATCACTGTCTTAATCGAATCACCAATCCTGCCAGATCCAGACATTCCAGTGAGGTTATATGGCCTGAAATCAACAAAAATATTAGAAATTGCCTCAAGACTTTGGAGAAGTAACTAACGACAGAGGCCTGGGGACGTTTTTTTCAAAGGAGTGAGTGTTTCCTCTTGGGGTATACCGGGCCACGACATAGTAGAACCCGTTGTCGGCCTGGTGTTGCCCCCAGCCCAATTCCGTTGACGAGGCCCAAATCACTTGTGTAAACTGTGCGGCGTTCAATTTAGGTCCTGGATTACTAAAGTCGTACTCCTTAATTTCGTCATACCAATATTGAATGCATTTCTCAGGGTCATCGAGGCGGAAGCACAAGTTTTCGCCGTATTTTCCCTGGGTATCTGAAAGATATAAATACTTTTGTTTCGCCAACTCCTGTGCTTTGCCATTCCGGTTATTAATGCGGTTATCCAAAATAATTCTAATATCGATGGAACGTACCTGAGCGTATGCGGTGGCTTTCCAACATAGCTGCCTGGACAATCTGAGGGGAGGAACACCGTGTAAATTCCTCAGCCGATTGTGCTCAATGAGCGCTTCCTCATCCGGAAAGGCATTCACAGCCGCAAACTGGAATTAACCTTGTGCGTATACGATCTTTCTGCTCTAACATAAATCTTTTTGTACATATTACCCAATACAGGAAGAGTACCATTTTAATTTTTACAGCTTCCATAGCCTTAAATTTTTTTTAGATAGATCGAAATAAAGAACCGAGAAGTAATATTAGTGAACAGGATTTTTAATACTTATACCCATATTTATCTCCAAGCCTTCTAGGCGGATATTCTTTTTACAAACCCATAATTCGGCAGCATAATCTTAGGTTATTTTCAGAGCCCAAAGAATCATTCAGTTAGCAATCAAAACGGAAGGTAGGTACGGTGATTTGTCTCAGTGTGCTTTCGGAGGCGCCCATGCGATATTATTTTGAGGGACTAACCACATACAAGGACAAAGGGCAATGCGATGAGCTCTGATCGTCAGCGGCAGCGGTTTAACTCTATTAGGACCACGCCCTCAATCCACATGTCCTGCATTGGATATTAAATTTTTTGCTCCTGCTGCTGCTGTTGCCGCTGCCACTATCCTGGCTGTGTTGCTCTGTGGAACCGTGGCAATAAAAGTTTGGCTTTTGGCAGCCATGTGTGCTCTGGCGCTTTATGGAAGGATGAGCTGGTGCCGCAACGCATGTGGCTGATGCTTTGGGTCATCATTGTTGACAACAATATCAGTGGCTCTGGCAGCGGCAACACAAAGCAGGCGGAGCACGGACGATGGAACTTACTTTGTCCTTTACACAGTTTTGGTTTCTGGTTTTTAGCTCTAAAATGTCAATTTGGGCCGTGACGAAGATTTATTGTGTTTGGGTTTGATAGGTGCTCTTAAATATCCCCCACTAGGCGCACATATTTCCACTATAAATTTCGCTGGATCCATCATTATGAGGCATATATGCTACAACCATTAGTAATAGGAGGCGAAACGATATTGTGAAAATTATCCTTGTTGTTAATAAACTATGCAGCTGTTATTAAACTTTTATCAAATAAGACTTAAAATTTGAAATACATTAGCATCTTTGTTTTCCTAGTGTTTTATTTATTTATTTATTTAATTTTTTATTGGCCAAAATCCAATCACAATTTGAGCATATTCCCCTTGAGTCTAACTGTACTGAGAATAAATGGAAAATAGTCGCCAAAGAGTCAACGAGTTGAACTGTTGCCAAGACCGGCATTAAAATGGAAATGGCATATTCCAGCCACATAATGGTTAACCAATATCAACAGAGCAACACGCAAAATTTTCGACATTTTGTGAAAAATTCACCACTATGAAAAACGCACACACATTTGCTGACATCGAAAGTGGGACAGAATAACTTGCATAATAAATGCAATTTATCCTTCCGGGCTTCGAGTTGTGAGTTGGCTCACGGCCATAGCTGTCCCATTCGCACAAGACTGATAACTCAATAGCCAGAACTGTTCCCAGTTCCCAGTTGGCATAACTAAACTAATTTCTTTTTAATTCAAACTGAGGAAACACATCTTCTTCCCACAGGGCCATGCGAACAATGCCGTCCAAATGCCAGGATGCGAAACTTTGATGGCGCCCCACTACTTGGCCCCCGGGGCAGGTGATCTAACCCTGCTCCAGGACCCGGCTCCCTCCAGGCCCAAACTCTAGTCCAGTACCTCCCATTCCCTCCCTGGTGGCATCCCTGACCGACATTCGATGAATTGACCAACGCAGCTTGTTATTTTTCGTGTGCAACAGCGCGTTTCATTCGCTCCCGGAGGTTATCCTTACCAGCCCTTTTCGAACAGTGATGCTGGGAAGCTAGTTAAGATTAAAAAACATATTCATTCGCTTTTGAATTACTTGTTCTAAAAAATAAATTACGATTAAGTGACAAAAATCACACAAAAGGCATACGTAGTACAATAAATTAAAAGGTTTATCTTTACCAGATTTGTATGCGCTTTTGATAATGTAATTTATCGGCTTGGAAGTATTTATCCAATCAAACTACATTTTAGTAATAAAAATCAAATACTTATTTCTTTGCGTAAGAGTTGACATCACTATACACTGTGCCGCTCCAATAGCTTTCTAACCGAAGGACGAGAAACATTTGATGGTGGCAATCCGCCTTACCTTTTTGTCTGGTCAAACTTTTGCTCTGTTTTTGTCGAATTCCGCATTCTACTCGGGGATCGGACAGCCGACGTCTGTTTTTCACCTGCCAGGACTCCGCTTCATTCCGTTCCATTCGGATTCGGATTCAGAATCCTCCATTTGTTTGCGTATGGGAAATCGTTGGTGTTTGTCCATCTGAGTGTGCGAGTGTTTGTGTGTCGAGTGTGTGCAGGTGTGCATGAATTTTACGCTGACAATTGTGATTTTCGCATGGTTCAGCATCGGGCAAAGGTTTTTAATTAGATTTTACTTCATTTTCCGCTGTCATTCAACGCGATTGCCACTGCATGCTTTATTCAGTTTCAACCCGATAAAAAGGATAGGCGAGTTCAATCGTCAAATCGTGATTAGATTTTCACTTTAACAAAGTTCCCGAGAGCTTGCCTGGATCGAGGAATTGTGTATAACGTATTTTAATGTGTGTTAATTAGTATTTTATTCCGAAAATATACAATTATATAGCCTTTAAAATATTTTTAATAATTCTCTTTACAAATATTCTCGTGTATCGATTGCTGCGGGGTATTAAACATATACATCGAATTCTCTGATATTTACAGGGTATTTAGTTATGAAATTCTCTGATATTTACGGGATATTTAGTTATGAAACTCTCTGATATATACGGGATATTTAGTTATGAAATTCTCTGATATTTACCGGGTATTTAGTTATGAAATTCTCTGATATTTACGGGATATTTAGTTATGAAACTCTCTGATATATACGGGATATTTAGTTATGAAATTCTCTGATATTTACGGGATATTTAGTTATGAAATTCTCTGATATTTACCGGGTATTTAGTTATGAAATTCTCTGATATATACGGGATATTTAGTTATGAAAGTCAGTATACTAATTTGAGTAGTCCGAAACAAATCGAAATAATCATGGCATTAATTGGGACTCCAACCTTGCCACATGCATTTCTTCGATCCCTGAAATTAATAGAATATTAAAATTAGACTCAAAAACACAATGCAAAAACTAACGATTTAGGCCTGGGAACATTTTGTGCAAACTCTCCTATCATATTCCCGGGTGGGGTGTACCTCGCTACTACGTAGTAGACCCCATTGGGATCCCTGTACTGCCCCCAACCCAATTCATGTGTTCTGGCCCATATGAGTTGCGTAAAGTGCCCGGTTTTGAATGAAAATCTTGGCCTAGAATAGTCATAGTAAATGCTTTCATCATACCAAATTTGAACACATCTCTCAGGTTCGGAACTGCGATAGCATAAGTTTTCTCCGTACATGCCGTCGCTCTTTGAATGTACCAATTCTTGTTTTTCCGCCAATATCTGTGTATCGAATGGCTTTGCAAAAAATAATTGTGATTGTAATTTTGGATCGTACCTTAGCATAAGCGGCAGATGCATCACAAAGGTCGGGCTTTAATTTAAGGGGAGCAACTCCGTGTAATTTCCTCAGCCGATTGTGCTCATTTAGGGCTATATTTTCAGCCCTGCCAATGCATTCCACTGCCGTGAACTGCAATAAATGTTATGCATACGCGATTATTATACGTTCACATTAAAATATTTGTGCTTATTACCCTGTAAAGAAACAAAAGTATTAAAATTTGTATAGCTTCCATAGCTTTATCATTTTTCTAACTTGTGTGTGAGCCGAGAAATAATTGTTGTAGTACTTACTGACTTATGTATAATGATATGATTGCTTGATTGATCCCCATTCTCTGAAAATGTATGTTTCTAAAACACAATTTAATAGGTCGATATTAAGTTGTATTGTAGGACAAGAATATATTTTTAAAGGAAAATTGCAGCTGTACATCCAAGGTGGTAAACTTCTCCAGATCGTGGTCTATATGAATGCCTAAACATGCGACATATAATAAACCCACAAATCCCTCTTTAAATGGTTCAATTTGTCAGCGACCCCAGTACCGCCTCTGATGGTCCAGGCCATCGGTCGAGTCGGCTCTTCGTGGTGGCAGCTGCCACAAATGATGGTTCTCTTGTCTTCTTTAGCGTCAATAGGCCATGTCCCCTATATCACAAACCCTTATTCCACTTTAATATTTTTGCAAACATAGCTTTTGATAAAAACTTCTTTAATTTTCTTTCTCAATTAAGACTTAAGAAATCGCTCTTATTGGTTTAAACTTGTAGATATAAGGCTTTCAAGTTAATTTTTCTGATTTAGCTAGCCATAAAATAGAGTATTCCGTCGCCGGGGGTGTTGGATTTCTTTTGTCGCTTTCGGTTTTGGTGTTTGTGTTTTTGGGGCCAACAACGAAATGTATTTAGCATAAAAATTTACGATAATGAGAGCACAGAACAACAGGCGGCATTGCTAGAAAACAAGAAAAACGAAAGCAGGAGGCAGTCGACAGAGCATCAAATTTCGCCTAGGCAAATAGACAACAAACTGAGGTCTACCTCAATAAAGGAGGGGCAGGGAGTCAGCAGGTGTGGATACCACACCTCCCACCCCAAAAATGCCATCGCTGTTTTGTGGTCAAATACTGCCGCGAAGTGTTTGCCACAGGTCTCCACCACAGAGGAGTGTCATTGCTCGGCTAATGCCGAAAGTTAAATTAATATTTTTCACTAGACATTTGTTGTTTCGCCGCGTTTTCTTATTTACAAAAAATTGACGTATTTCATGGCGCTGTGGTTTAACCAACGTCAAAGTCAACTGTTCTGGTTTGTATCAAAATCCTTCTACCACAATTCTGGCTCTCACCTGTTTTCTGACAGATTAGTAAAGTTTGGTGCAGTCCTTAATTTAAACTTTTCATTCGGGATTCGCAGAATTAGACAATGAAAGCTGGCTGGGGCACAGGATATGGCTATCTTGATGGCGTGATAATCTCTTTTTAAATGCCATCGAAAGTCGGTAGAAAAACAGTTTTCTTCTTAAATACGGAAAATGCTGAATGTGCATCCCACTGACACTTGGTCGCTTTGTGAGCTCGAAATAAATTCTATTTGCAGGAATTATGCTGCATACTTAGCTGCGAATGCCAGTGGTGGTGCGAAAAATGAAAATAAATGCAAAGGCATCCCAAGTACTTCAGGTTGCCATTTACATTCAGCACTGGCATTGGCATTTTATTTTGTCAGTCGCATTGAAATCCATGAATGGAATATGTGTGTCCCCTAATGCGTATCTCTTCGAGGGGTGTACAAGTTGGCAGAGCCGTTGTGGGTATTTTTATAAGGGGGGGAAGCCTAAAGTCATTTACCAAGTCATTTTTTATTGAGTACTTAACAGGCGTAATTTTAGTAATAGTTGCCACAAGGCATTAGTATACAAATATAAATATAATTATATAAAATATGATGTCAGATAGGGAGAGAATTATTTATATCCTATAAAGGGTACACAGCTTAATATTAATATTATATTTAATTCAACATTCAAATGTAGGGCATTTTATCCCCAGAAAAAACCCTTTTCCTCAGCCGCTGTGGGTGCTGCAACTGGCTTATGCGACTGTCTTCTCCTTTCCATTGCGTCTATAAATTATTCATTCCGTTTGAGATGTTTGATGTGCCTCCAAGTGGCATGATGTCCTCGCACACAGACACATACCCTCGCACTCGCACTCGTAGTCGTACTTGCACATTGCCAATCGGTTTGTTGCAATTTTTTTGCACTCCCTCTCGGCGTTGTGTCTGTGTTGCATCCCAGCATTTACCCGCATTTCATTGAATTCATTCATTTTTTAGCTGCCTTGCCGCACATCCTGGCTTGTTATTGTTGGTGTTTGCCACAGCTTTGCATAAATAAGATAAACACAAGGATGTGCTCGGTGGGGATCGGTCCCTTTTCGCCATTCCCTCCTTTTTTAGCATCCTGAATCCAGCATCGTCTCGAGTCGGTGTGCTGTGATTTATTTTGCACTCAATGTTTGCCAAAGTAAAATTGATTGAAGCGTTTGTTGGCGCTTCAATTGATTTTTACAACCGTATGTATTCGTATATGAACGTGGTGTGTCGCACACCATCGCCATCTCCCCTGCTCTTCCCCTGATCCTGCTCCTTTTTTGCACCTTATTTCCGCCTCGTGGCCAGCGAGGCATTTCAAGTGCCCTGGTGCTTGAGTCCCGGCTTGTTTACAGTGGTTAAATTAACTTTGGTCAATTTGGTTCCTGTCGAGTGCTCGGCCATTCCATTGAGATAAGTTGATGCCAGACTTTGCGAACTCGGCCTTTGCGGCAACAAAAGGATAATGGCATAACCCTGCCCAGCTTACTGACAGTCCATTTGGTATACCACAATAACTTGGCAAATTGTTGTATCGAAATTATGGTTATTCGTAATTGAAATGGGATTCAGGAAAAAGTATTAATGTTAGTAGTCGAATTGATATATAACCTTTACTTAACGTTAATTACTGATTATGTCTTAGTTATTTCTACAAGAGTTTTAGAAGAGCGAAAGAGGCTTTAAGAACATATTTGATACTTCTACATTCATTGTCTATTTGCACTATTTGCCTAATAGACGGATAAACGATTTGCCCTCAAAAATGTCAGTGGCAAAAATCACAATAATTCATCAAATGTCGTGCTGTGATTTTATTAACTGACGCTGATGGTGATTGAAGCACATCTGGGCCATATCAACACCTGCAACCGGCAGTCGATCATCGACCACCCCCACCTCACCTCTCAGCACTCACCCCTCGCCACTTACCACTCACCCCTTGTACTCACTCACCCCTCAGTGCTTACCCCAGCAATCACCACCAACTGCAGTCGCATAAATCTTGGCCTGTCAAGTGCAAACAGAAAGGGAGGGAAACCATCAAAGATGGAGCTAACAAATTACTGACAGCAACAAAAAAAAAAAAAACATAAAAGAAAAAAATAGCAAAGCAAACAAAAGACAGAAAAATATAACCAAAGACAGTGAAGAAACAAAAAATGGAGGAATCATAATGGCAATAATAATTATGCAGAATATACAAAATATACGAAATATAAAAATAAACACGCAACGCAAATGTATGCCACTCATTTTTATGAATGGGCATTTATCATAATTAAAAATTCCACCAACACCGGCAAAGGTTCTGTGTGTAGCCAGAGTACCCGGCACCCATTACACCGTTGCCCATTACCCCGGGCTCCTTCCTTTCCCGAATCACTTTCAGATGCCGACGTTTCTGACCTAAGACACGCCACACACACACACACACACACACACACACCACACTCTCTGACATCTGGGAGTATCTGGAGAGAGTGCGTCAGAGGACAGCTTTTTTGGATTGGATTTTGGGGCTCACTTGGCGAAACAGCTGTTGCTGTTTGTTTTTGGGACGTGCACATTCACGACGTAAAGTAAGGCACTGGAAGAGCCACGTTTGTGAGTCCTCTCCACTCTGCGCATGTCTGCCGTTAGTCGCACCCAAACGGCTCTCTTTCGAACGGATAGAGAGAGTCTTTCCGGGTCTCTTAGATGACGATGTGCCGAGAGGATTTGTTCGGCTTTTGGTACGATTCTCCCGAGCTTTTTTGGGGTCGTCGTGGCTGCTGGCATTAAACGTCGCCACTTCGAATGCCGTTGTCGTGGGCTTCAGTTGTGTCCAACGCTCTCTCTGTGTGTGCTCCTCCAGCAAACTGTGACTGTGACTGTGATTCCCGCTAGCCGCCACTGGCTGTGTGACAGTGACTGTGACTCTCGGGCGTCGGTTGATTCGGCCCGGTGGCGTATACTTGATGTGGCACCCTGGCGTATACTTGATATAATCCGCGGTTCTGAGTTGCGATCGCCACACTAACTTCGCGCAGTGTATTCTCGAGGATATCTTTGATCCAGAATAACAACATAACGAATTCATTGAATTGTGCGGCTTCTTTTGAAGTTAATCCACACAGATATTTCTCACGCACATGCTCTGACTGTGGCTGTGTAGTAGTTGTGCGGTCGCTTTGTGTCCCAGTGCGGTGTGTGCGGGCAAGTGTGCGTGTGTGTGTGTGTGTGTAATGCGTATGTAATCCAAACAAATCTGTCACGTGTTTTGGATATCTTTTTCTGAGGCCACCAACGGCGTCGTCGCAGCTACGGGGAATTTATTGAAAAATCACACAAAGGTGAGCCAATCCATGCGGCATATGGCCGATAAGCCGGATGGGGCGAAAAAAATGCCCCGATCACGTTGAAAATTAAAATAGTTAAGCAGCTTACGAGCTACAAGGGCATAACTATGCGGATGCTGGGCCAACAATGTTAGCTCCCACTGGGAAATTGATAATTGAATATAAATTGGTTATTTTCACAGTCTCCGGATGGTCCTGTGGAATCTGAATGGGTTTGCTCTTTTTATGTCCAGGTATTTTTGGTCCGGTTTAATTTTAATGCCACATTTCTGGGCAGCAAGTTGGTGAATTTAAATTGGAGTTTATTGAGGAAGATGAAATTGTATGCTTATTTTTTAGTTCTTTAAATAATTTCTTAAGAGATGCTTAACACTTTTCTTAATTTAATGCATTCCTAAGCATTAATTTACTTTATTTCCAAGGTTTTATAAGTTACAGAACACTATTAATCACAAAATATATTAACTATATTCAAACATATTTAAATGTCTAATTAAAGTGTCAATAAGGGTATGAACCTTTGGGTAATTATTGCATGCCTCGTTTCAAGCGATACATATTTATATGAAA